GGCCATCTTGGCTTGTTTGGAGGCACTTGCTCCTTGAGCACTGGGACAAGCATTTTTTGTGCCTGCCTCACTGAGCCCAGCAATTCTGTGAGGCAGAGGCTATGATTATCCCCGTTTCAAAGGTGAGCAAACTGAGGTTAGGGTGAAGTCACTTGCCTGGGGTCACAGAGCTGCCAAGTGCTGGAGCTGGACTCAGAATCAGGTATGTCCACTACAGAGCCAGGTTGCTTACCCACACAGTCCTCACTGCCCACCTCCCAGAGTCCACGTTGCACAGAGCTCCACACACGCCTGATCGTGTCAGTGTCCTGCTTAAAAGCCTGTGTTGTCCTACGTGCAAAGCCTGTGTTGTCATGCCTCCCTGCCTTTGCATGCACTGTGCTTTTTGTCTCAAGCACCTTCCCCTCCATCCTGCCTGATGCTTGCCTGTCTTCCTTTCTATGTTGGCCTCACTGTGAAGCCACTGGTAGTGAGGTGTCCCCTCCCGGCTCTCAAGAGCAGCTGTGGCTGCCTCCATTCTAGCACTGAGACTCAGATTGTACTCATCTGGTTGTCTACCCCAAGAGTAGCTTTTTAGAAGCAGGGTCAGGACAGATTCCCCCTCTGAATACCCAGTACCCAGGATGGCACCTGGGTTGCTAAATAGAAATTCAAGAATTTCGTTCATTCAACGTATTTTCCAAGCATTTCCCCTGTGCAGCCACTGTGCTAGGGGCTGTAAATAGAACAGAACAAGATAGGTGAGGCCCCTAGCCTCAGGGGGCCCAGTGGCAAGAAAGAGAGTAGGTATTTGTAATGCAGGTAATGATTAGTGCTCAGGAGGGGCACAGGAGTCGGGGTGGGGAAGGCCGCCTGATCCAGCCCCAGGAGAGACCTTGGTCGGACAACAGAGAGGGGAATAGTGTTGCACCGTGGGATAGAGAGGCTTGTTTGCTTGTGAGTCTGGTCCAAAGTTTGCTTCATTCATTCATTCATTCATTCGACAGATTTCTGCCTAGCCCTGAGTGGATACTGGAGGTTCTCCAGTAACTCAGACAGATACAACCCTTCTCTGGTGGAGGTTGGAGAGGGAACATCTGAGCAGGACTTTGACCATTCCTGGAGTTGGGCAGGTCCTCAAGCATCTCTTGGAGATAAGAGCAGAGTTGATTTTGTGCTTTTCTGCCATGGTCTTGGACCTATCTAGAGGACTAGGCTACATGGAGGGGTAGAGGGGGCTGCTGGCCTCATGACAGGCCGATTTCACCAGAGAATAGACCTGACACAATAGCTTGATTGTGAGAGGCCTGGCTCCCCCACCCAACATTTTAACATTCCTGTGATCAGAATGTGTCTCACAATCGTGTGCACGGATGGGCCAGTGCCATGTATCAGTCCCCCACAGCTGTTTGTCCCATGGCTTACAATGTACATAGGGTAATACAGTTTTGTCATAGAAACTGCCCCCAGAATGAGGTTTCTAATGTGACCTATTTGTCACCACAAACTCCATGCTGCCTGTAGCTGAATAACCCTTCTATTTAGGCTGTTTTATATAAATTCATAGCAAAGAAACACTATTCAGTGAATTGATTCTTTCTTGAACTTTCCACAGTGTGGTTGTCCAGGATGGCAGCAGACTGGGATAAAATGGGCATAGGTCTGGATTTGAATCCTTGCTTTTTGACCCACTAGAGGAAAGACCTAGGGAGAGGTGCTATAGCCCTGAACCTCAGTTTCCAAGTTTCCACTTCTATAAAATAGGGACAGCACCACCCATCTCAAGGACCCTCTTAGCTCCACATGCCTTCTCATTGCCACTCCCACAGACTTGTGTGATTATTTACCGTCTGCCTAGCCCTGCTGGGCTGTGGGCTCTGGAAGCAAAGCCACTCCCCCTCTGCCTGCTGTTAGCTGAGACCATTCCAGATTAAGTGGGCCGTGATTCAGACAGAGGCTGGATGCTGAATGTACCTGCCCAGGGCAGGGCTGCTGTTATGTTTGTTTTATTATAGCTATGAGTTGCCATCACCCTGATGTTTTCTCAGGAATTGCTGAAGTGTGGCCAGTGTAGGTGATGAGGACCTGAGCTGTGCTTCTGCAGCCCTAAGGGAAACTCCAAGTAGGGATGTAAAAATAATGTGAAATGATATCTCAGTCATATAGGCCAGTGCTTCCCCAGGCCTCTGCCCCTTCTGAGTTGTGCCAGAGTCTCCTAGTACTGTTGTGGGTAGGCAGCATGTCAGGGTACCCAAGCACATGGATATGTGAAGTCAGCCAGCCTGGCTTGGACTCCCAGGTCCACTTCCTGCTAGCTGCATTTGTACAGGGCACCCTGTGTGGCTATGCCAAGGTCCTCTGTAGGGGTAGCAGTAATGCCTCTTCTGCCTGCGAGGTGGGCTTCCATGGAGAGCACATGATGTGCTGAGACTGGGTAAGCAGACTTGCTGTCAGGGGTACTGGGCAGGGACCTAGTGACAGACTCAGGTAAGAGAACTTGCACCTTGAATAAGGTAGTGGAGTGAGGTAGAAGAAGGCAGGGGCTTCAGGGATGGGCAGACTGCGTTCACTTAACTATTTGACCTTGGGAAAATTAGCTTCTCAAGCCTCAGTTTTCCCATCTGTAAAATGGGATGCTAAAACTACAGCCTACCTCTGAGGGCTGTGGTGAGGATGAAATGAGATAATATAGTCTTATATGTGCCTTCCTTAGCCCCAGGGCATGGAGGATGGAAGGGAGGAATAGCTTCTTTGCTCCGCCTATAAGCTTGCACCAACACCAGGTGGTCCCGTCCTGGGCCATGTGCTTTACACACTTTCGTCTGTTCCACCCACATTTATTGAGTAATAATTAATCCCTCCTTTTAGCCAGGCCCCGTGAAGTCAGTTGGAACCACTGCTCAACCTGAGCTGTCCAGAGGGGACAGTGAGTCACCACAGTTTTAGGTTGGAACAGGGAAGACTGTGGCTTCAGCAGCCCCAGAGGCCTTGAGAAACAATTATTTAACATCAGCTTTTCAAATTCTTCAGAGACTTCATGGAGCCCTCTGGGACCTCTGGAGCCGTGGGACAGAAAATACTGTCCTGGGCTGAGATGTTTCAGTGCCGTGGATCCACCTGACTGGGCCATAGAGCGCCAGACTTGGTGATGGCCATTGTTTGCCTCTCCCCCTGCAACTCTGGGACAGGCCTGGCCATTGGTCCTTCTGATTTTATGGACTTCCTGCAGCACTGAGGTAGCTTCATTTTTGCACTCACTATGGTTTCAGCGAGGACACCAGTAGACAGGCAGACAAGTAGGACCCACATGGGTGGTAGGCTGCTGTTCCCCCTTGAGATTGGTATTGAAACCTTGTGTCATGTGTCTCCACCTTTCCTTAGTGTGGACTTCAAAGATGCAGACATCCTGCAGGAGGCCCTGAGTCACACCCTCAGACATAAATCCCACCTTGGGCTCCTGGAAAGCTCCGCAGGGTGGGTAGTGGTAAAGGCCAGCACATTAACTCTGCCTTACAGGCTTTTCTGGAAGTCCTAGCAGGCAGGATGTGTCCAGAACAGGGAAAGAATTTGGGTCTCTGCCCTTCCCTTGCCTCTGTGTGATTCTGATTGTTAATGTTTCAGAAAGTAAGTGACTGACATTTGCTAGGAGTTTGCTGCCCACGAGGATTGTGCTAAGGCCTTCCTGCACATGATCACTGTGGTTCTCCTTGGAACACAGGGAAGTGTGGTTCAGAGTGGCTCTGAAGCCACATCAGTGGTGCCAGGACTTACTAGCCATGTGGCCTAGGTACATCACTTAACCTATCCATCAGTTTCCTCATCTGTAAAATGGGAGTGAATAATGGTGCCTGTATCAGAGGGTGGTGGTGAGGATTCTACAGGTTGATAAGTGCCTATCTTAGAGTAAGTGCAATGTAAGTATTAGCTCTTGCTAAGAGGTAGGCACTGTAACTATCTCATTTCTTAGATAAAGAATCTGAGGCTTAGACAACTAAGGATTCTGCCAGAGCCACTTGGTCACTAAGTAGAAGAGCCAGAATTTGAAGCCAGCTCATGAGCATTACCCTTACTCTGCCTCCATTTGGAAAAATACATGTGGGGAACATTTGGCCAGCTTCGGAAGTGGCATTCTCAACTTCCATGAGAGCCCTGGGTGAAAGGAGATCCTTTTATAAGTAACCGAACTGGCCTCTGGGAACTCTCATAATCCCACAGCAGAGGCAATAGGTGACCCATGACACACATATCACGGGAGGAGAAGGAAAGGATCAGTGGAGAATTTCTGTTTGGAAATGTTATCTAACACTGAGTGCTTTCAAGGGACTCAGTATGTGGAGCCCATGCTGTTTCCCTGTGGGGGTGTCAGGAGAGCCACATCCTCCCTACATCTCTACCTCATCCAGCCTGTTGGAGACCCAGGGTACCATACAGTGCAGAAACCCCTGGGTGGCACATCCCCTCCCACGCTGGATACCTTGGCTCTCCTCACCAGTTGGAAGGCTATGAGCAGAAGCTGCCCAGCTTCAGGGCACTTTCTGAACAAGGGCTCCTGGCTGCCTTAGGACAGCGTTTGCTTTTGCTTTTGCCTCAGTGAAGTCCCTGGCCAGGGTGTGTGCAGAGCAGCCCAAAGCTGAAAAGGAACTCCAAGGCCCTTAGGCTACCCCTGCCGTCTGCGGCTTTCCAATCTGTGACCCCTAAGAACACACTCCAGCTGCCCAGCCATGCCCAGGAGCTGCCTGCCTTTACCCCAAAGGCTCTTTGTCTAACGGAGGAGGGTGGGCTTACTGAAGAAGTCCTCAGAACCCCAGCCCATGAGCTTGTGCCCCGGACACCACCAAGTGTCCACAGCTCTGCCGGAGATGGCGTGTTGGGCTCCACGTGAAAATAAGGAGTGACCCCCTTTGGGATCTGGCTGTACACACACCCCAGCAGTTGGGGACAGGGTTCTTGAACCCCCCAGCCATGGGGCCAGCTGCTGCCTCTTGCACCCTGCCCCTGGCTGCCACAGGCTGGCCCCTTACCTCTTCCCTCCTCTTGGCTCCCAGAGCAGCTCCTCACATGCTTCACCTTGGCCGTCAGCGGGGCAGCCTGTCCATGGCCTCCAGGAAGGGTTCCCGAGTCGTAGCCCGGCCGACCAGCTGCCCTGCAGCCCTGCCCCACTATCCTCTGGGGCTCAGCCCTCCACAGCAGGGCTCTGGCAGGGGATGGGGCTGGCCAGGGGTCCTGCTGGGGCTGCTCACAGCCTGCTTTCCCTCACAGCTGCGCAGGCAGCTGCCTCAGTGCCATGCTCTGGGGTCCGGGGGCTCAGGCAGCACCACTCAGGGCTTGGGGTCCATCCTCAGGCCGTCTGCAGCAGCCTCATTTGAACTCCCAACTCCTTTGTGGAGTCTTTACATGCCGCCAGAGGAAACTGTGAGCACAGCCTGACCCTGGTTGGCTGCAGGCGCTTCTCTCCACCCACTAGTGCAAGAGGATCCCCCAGGCCCCAGAAAGGCTCCGGGCCTCCCCTCAGCCCCAGACAGAGGCGGGCCGCCCGGTGATGTCACACTAGCTCCGGCCCCAGCTGGCCTGGCCCCTCCCGCCCGCCTGCTTTGGCAGCCTGGGCGGCCCCCTCCTTCCTTGGCATGGCAGCCTGGCCAGCTCTGCTCCCTGGCCCGCCCTCTCCCCAAAGCTTGGGCAGCTCGCATGCTCTGCGAGGTGGCGGAGAGCTTCCCCTTTGACTCAGGGAATGGGTTGAGATCCGCTCCAGCTGTGCATGCAGCTGGCTTTCAAGCAGCAGGCGGCAAGTCCTCCTTCTGGATGGCTCCTGGGTACTGACCCACAAAGCCCCAGGCCAGCTCAGCCCAGAGGGTCTCTCATCATCGCCTGCCCCTCATGGAGGCCTCACTCTCATCTCTAAGCCCTGAGGAAGGGAGCCCAAGGCTGTCCATACAGGAGCCACAGAGGCAGGGCTGCTGGAACTTCACAGGAGGTAGTGGCTTAGGATGTTGGAAATACCACAGGCTGGGGGTGGGGCAGCACTGGAGAAAAGAAGTCACTTCCCACCTTAGTGGCTTTGATTGGGTCTTAGCACCTCTCTGGGGATCCTTTCCATGCATAGGCAAATGAGCTCATTCATCCTAGTAATTTACGTCCCTGGGCTGCAGTGAGGATTCTGCCACTGAGGTCACGCAAGGAAGGGGCTTGGCACAGTGTTGAGAATACCTCTTTGAACACAACTGCCAACTCTGGAGCTGGGCGGGCCAGGGGTCTCACATTCCTGGCATCTCTGCTGTGTGATCCTGTTTGGCCTCAGTGTTTTCATCAAATTGTGACCTCCTGTTGGGCTCTTCTAGAAACAAGTAGTGAAACTCCCTTAGAGTCCTCAACATTCTGGGAATGTGTATATAAGAGAATTAGAACAAGAAGGGAAGGGGTGGCACTGACCCTCCATGCAAGTACCCTGCAGACTGGTGCCATGGTCCTAGGTCTGTTGTTGAGCACCCTGCAGGGAGCCAGAGGGTAGGAGGAGGCAGACACCAGGAAGGGAGCCCCCAGCACAGGTTTGTCCCTCTGCTTGAACAATAGCATGTAAAATATTGGTGATAACTCCTCTTTTCTTTAAAAAAAAATTTTACTGATGGCAGTTTTACTAATGGTATTAGTGATGATGTTTGGTACAAATTAAGAGAAAAACTAGCCATAGTGGGTCACATTCCTGGTCCCTGGGTAAACAGTCCCAGTGTGATCCTCACCTCCACTCCTGCCACTCCTGCCTCTGCAGGGATTGAACTTTTCTTCCTGCCTCAGCTTCTCCCCATCTGTCAGTTCCATCTCTTTGAGGAGGTGCATCTTTGCCAGTAGCCCCCATGATAGCCCACAACATTAGCCAGGGAGCTGAGCTAGGCAGTCAACCAGAAATACTCAGACACCTGCTGTGGTGCGAAGGTCCAGCCACTCTGTGGATTCCTCAGAGGGCCTGGAGGTTTCCTAAAGGCCATGGTGGGCTGAATGAATTTTTCTCCTGGAGCTGGACCCTTGACAGGATGAGAGCATCTATATTTTGCCAGTCTGTGATAAACAGTGGGAGATTAGCATGTCTTTTCTCCCTCCTTCTCTCACTTTTCTTCCTCCCTCCCTCTCTCTCCCTCTTTCTTTCTCTCCCACTTCCTTTCCTTCCCTCTTTCCTCCCCCTCCTCTTCCTCTTCCTTCTCTCCTTTCTCCCCCTCAAGCCAGGAAGTGTTTATTGGGGACCTACTCTTAGCCAACACCAGGAACACAGTCTCTGTTCTTGGAGAGCTGGCCGTCAGGGTGGGAGGCAAACTGAGAGGGGTATATGAGAAGTCCTGTATACCGGGGGAGTACCTGATCATTAGACCTGGTCAGGCCCAAGTGGTCAGAGCCGGTTCCCTAGCAAACAGGAATGAGCAGGCAATGAGGCAGGAGAGAGGATGGTCTGGGCAGATTTCAGTGATGGCTCCAGCAATCTCTCCGGTCCATAGAGACCTTAGCACTCCTCCCATGGAGATGTCGGGTCTGTGCCTCCCCCCTTGAATCTGAGAGGATTTGTGACTTGCTTGTGACTGATGGAATGTGGTAGAAGTGGCACCACCTGACTCCCAGGCTGGGTGAGAAGAGGGTGTGCAGCCTCTGCCCAGCTAACTGGGCACTCTCTTTTGAGCCCTGAGCCAGGCAGGAGCTTGAGAAGTCCCGAAGCCACTATGCAGAGGCCATGTGCAGTGTAGGTCCCAGCCGAGGGAACACTGACCCCCAGACACAAAAGGAAAGATGCCTTTAGGTGATTCAACCCCTAGCCATCCAGTTACCCACAGCTGCTGCATCACTTCCAGCTTTAGAGTCTTCCAGATGAGGGCCCAGACCTCAAGGGGGAAGAGATAAGCTGTCCTCTGCTCCATGTCTGAATTCCTGAGGTGATAACTGTTAGCCCCTGCAGTAGTGACTGGGACAGACCCTGGGGCAATAGCAGTTGTAGGGGAGTCCTTTAGAGGACCCAAGAAAAGTGCATTTCAGCTGAGGAGAAAAGATGGGGCTTGTTAGAGCTGTGGGCCTTCATCTAGTAGGGAGCCACTGAAAGGTTTTTGAGTGAGACAGTGTCGAGACTTGCTTGCTTTTATGTTCAAAAGGCCTCATTCATGGGAGCTACAGACAGGGCATCCCAGGACTTTCCTACCCTCCAAGAATAGGTATAGTCTAAGCCCTATAGTTACTAAATCATTTTTTTCACAATTCAGAGTTTCTAGGCTCTCATCAGTGGGGGAGGAGCACCAGGGTAACCTCGTCCTGCCCCTTGGCACATCCCTAGCCCCTTTGGTGGCCTTGGGCAGTTGAGTGCCCTGTGGAGGAGCTTGAGCTCTGGACTCATTTTCTAGTTCTACTGCTCGGTCCCTCTGACCTTCATTCTCCTTGTGTATAAATGGGGATGATGAATGGGTCTGTCTCATAGGGCTGACGTGAAAATTAAATAAGCTTGCTGGCGTGGATGTGGAGAGAAAGGAGCACTTTTACACTGCTGGTGGAACTGCAAACTAACACAACCTTTTTGGAAGGAAGTATGGAGAACCCTCAAAGAACTCCAGCTAGACTTCCCATTTGATCCTGCAATTCCATTACTGGGTATCTACCCAGAAGGAAAAATATCCTTTTACCATAAGGACACTTGTACTAGACTGTATATCACAGCTCAATTTACAATCGCCAAAATGTGGAAACAGCCTAAATGCACACCAGCCTAGAAATGGATTAACAAGCTGTGGTATATGTATACCACGGTATATACTATTCAGCCATTAAAAAAGATGGAGACTTTACATGCTTCGTATTAACCTGGATGGAAGTGGAACACATTATTCTTAGTAGAGCATCACAAGAATGGAGAAGCATGAATCCTGTGTACTCAATTTTGGTAAGAGGACAATTTATGACCTAGTATACAGTGGGAGGTGGTAGAAGAGGAGAGCAGAGAGAGAGAGAGAAGGAAGGAGGGGGATGGAGGAAAGGAAGAGCAGAGAGTGGGGAGGAGGGAAGGGGATGGGAGAAGGAAAAGCAGAGAGAGGAAAGGGGGTGAGGTGGGGGTCTCGGTGTATGACACACCATTTGGGGGCAAGACACAAGTATAAGAGGGACTTTACCTAACAAATGCAATCAGTGTAACCTGGTTTCTTGTACACTCAATGAATCCCCAAGAATAAAAAAATAAAATATCTTCCAATGCTAAAAAAACAAATAAAATAAAATGAAAAATAAGCTGTGGCACATTAAGTGTAACTCACACTGGCTAGTACATAGCTCGGTAACTGTTGGCTATACTAGTTGTTATTGCCTCTTCACAGGATGTGAGTAACATGAGGACAGGGCATGTATGGGCTGTGCAGAGCTCTCCCTATATGTAGTCCGGTGCACACGAGTGAATGAATGAATAGCTAACTACAAGTGGGTGAATTGCCATGGCTCCAAGTCTAACTGGCCTGGGCTCAAATCCCAGCTCTGTCATTCATCTTAGACAACTTTCTTATTCTCTCTGAACCTTTGTTTCCTCATTTGTTAAAAGGGGATGATAAAACTTACTCCTCGGGGTTAGTGTGAGAAATGAGTAAGATAAGGTACCTGAGGGCCTTAGCGCAATGCTTGGCCTCAGCATTTAGTGATCTCTCAGGACACAGGCGCTGCCGCTGCTCTCTGCTGCCCTCAGGCTCCTGCCCGCTCCCCTAAAACACCAAGCTTCCCATGTGATGACCGCAAGATCTCAGAAGCCCCCGACCTCCTCCAAGAGCACCATTCCTACTTGGCCTCTTGGACAGAAGCATCATAAGACTCTTAATTTTCCTTTTTGTAGTTTTTATCAGGATGAAAAATGTGTGATGTTTACATGGTGACAAAATACAAAGAATCCTAATGTATGCACCATAATCTAGATAAATGATTTCATGTGTTTCATGTCTTCTCTCCTTCCTAACAGTCACACTTTTTTGATAGTTGTTGGAAGCAACAGGATGTTCTATTGAGACACTGTGTGCGTAGCAGGAGTGTGGGGGGATGCATGTGTAGTGTGTTATAGAGGAGTGTGCTTGGGAGGGGCCACTTTACTGTGTCTTACAGCTTCAGAGTCCCACGGGCATTTAAAGCTTCACATATCTCACATTGACTTTTTCTCTCACTTTCAGCACTTTAAAAGTGTTTCCATTGTCTTCTGGCCAACATTGTTTCAGTGAGAAGTCAGTGGTATTCCTTATGTTGTTCCTGTTTTCCCTCTGGCTTCTTTTAAGACTTTCTTTATCTCTGATTTTGAACAACTTGATTATGTTGTGACTAAGTGTGATTTTCTTTGCATTTATTCTATATGGAGTTCACTGAACTTCTTGAATCTATGGATTAATGTTTTTCACTAAATTTGGGAATGAATTTTTAGTCATTATTGGTTTGAATATTATTTATGCTCTATCTACCAAACTCCATTTCTACGCTATTGTCTCACAGGATGCTGAATCTCCATTCTTTT